TACAGCTGGATGCAACGTAGGCTTTTTTTGGGTGAAGAAAATTACTTTTCTTCAATTTTGAGATATTTCAAAATTTTTATGTTTAATAACTAAGTTTGAAGGTTTCTGAATTTCTAAATTTTCAATTTTTACATTTATATATATTGAAATTTCTAAATTTTCAAGTTTAACAAGTTTCTCATATTTATAATTGAAATTCAATTTCATTTATAAATCTGAGAAATTTCTTATGAACTGGAAAATAAATAATGAAAATAATTGAAATGAAATTACAATAAATGAAAATAATGGAAATTAAATTTCAATTATAAATATGAGAAATTTCTTACAAGTTGAAAAATAAATAATGAAAATAATTGAAAGGAAAATTAAATTAAATGAAAATAATGGAAATTAAATTTCAATTATAAAAATGAGAAATTTCTTACAAGTTGAAAAATAAATAATGAAAATATTTGAAAGGAAAATTAAATGAAAATAATTAAAATTTAATGTCATTTAGAAATCTGAGAAATTTCTTACAAATTGAAAAATAAATAATGAAAATATTTGAAATGGAAATTAAATTAAATGAAAGTAATTGAAATTTCACTTATGAATCTGTAAAATAGAAAATTTCTAAATCCATAAAATGTATAAATCGCAAGTTTTGTAAGTGTAAAAATCTAAATCCACAAATTTGAAAATACATTTCCAATTTGAAAGTTAAATCTATGAAAAGAAAAATTGCTCTTTAATTTGCACAAAACGATGTATAAGGGTGCCTCTCGCTATATGGCCATTTCCAAAGCAAGCCTACCGTATCCAGTGTTCAACTAAAAAGTGGCAATCGCCATAAGCTTATAAGGGGTTAAAATCGGCGAACCAGCACCACAGAGACTTAGCCGCTTTAAACCGGGGGTGGCGTCGTTGGAATTTCGTCTCAATTCTCGCGACGTTTTAAAGACACAATACATATATTTATACAATTACGAGATACCCAATGTTCCGATCATAAACGAAATCACGCTTCTCTAGGTATATAATAGAAGGACTAAAGAAAATAAGTTCCAGGTAATTCGACTCCGTAGCAGGGAGAATAACAAATTTTTTTAGAGAGAGAAGGTAATCGTAAGGTTAACTGTTATACCTATTACTCTATTATTGGTAATCAGGCAATATTGTTAATATTTATCTAACATTAACGATCATATTACTCGCGTACTCTACGATAATAATATTTAATATATAATATTATATAATATATTATATTATAAACTTATATAACACATATTACACGCATATAGAGCAGTATATACTGTATAACCATTACGTAATATAATATATTATCCATAATATTAATATTAATTATTAGCAATTAATCGGTAAGCTATTTTGTAATAATGCTCCTAGAGTTTCGTTTTTTATGGGGATATTTGTTAATCGACGATTTGTGATCGCGGATAACAGACGAAGTTTACGAACCCACCTCCTTAAGAAAAAAAAAAATAAGAAAAAAAAAAGAGTTCATTTGTACCTATACCTCGAATGATTGTTCAATAACTATGCGGAAGGAAACGTTACGATTTAACGATTTTACCGAGAATGATCGTAATCGCCATTTCTCGATAACCCCGGTCCGATGTTTTCGGTTATGTACACGCATAGCATGTATGCTTAGGTAGAGTGTAACGCGAAGCCAATGTATACACTGCTACGTTTCCGGCAATATCTAAAATAATAGTTATTTCGAATTCTTTTTAGTGCTATTTGTGTGTATAATTTTTGTTACATTATTTGAGAAATATATTAATAATATGAAAAACATTTCTGAACTGCTTTGGACATTAAAGTAACAGTTTTTTTTAATATAACCTAACCTACCTATTACTATTCTACTGTAAGTTGTAGAAATTTAAACTTTTCAGACATTGAACTTTGATGCAATTTTTATTTCACCCAAAAGAATATTTCTTTGGGATTCTTTTTAAATATATTCAGTGATTTTGAATTTGTAAGAGTAACAGTAAAGAAAAGGAATGAATATTTTTGTAAAAAAAGAACAGGACAATCTTTGGGTTATGTTACAAGTTAGGTTAGGTTAGGTTAAATTTTACAGGAATTAAATAGGTAAAGTTAGGTTAGGTTATTTTATTAAAACATAAGTTACATCGTTTTTAAAACTCAAGACTATATTTTTTAAGTATAATTTAGTTACAGTTTCAAATATTACTTAGTTATAGTTAAGTATAACGTAATTACATTTTTTAGATATAACTTAGGTCTTGTAAATATGATCTAGTTATATTTACATATAACTCATTTCTTAAACATAACCTAAAATTATATTTTTCAAGTATCACTTAGTTCATATTCTTCAAGTATAACTTAGTTCTATTTTGTAAGAACTAAGTTAATCTTACAATTTCCAAATATAACCTAAAAGTACATTTCTCAAACCTAACCTACATATACGCAAATCTAACCTAACCAAAACTTGCATTTTGTCAAAAATTCATATAATTAAATCACAAGATTACTCACATAAAGAACTAAGTTATAACTTACATTTTCCAAATGTAACCTAAAAGTACATTTTTCAAACCTAACCTACATATACGCAAATCTAACCTAACCAAAACTTGCATTTTGTCAAAAATTCATATAATTAAATCACCAGATTACTCACATAAAGAACTAAGTTATAACTTACAATTTCCAAATGTAACCTAAAAGTACATTTTTCAAATCTAACCTAACTTACATTTTGTCCAGAATTCATATTATGAAATCAGCAGATCACACAAAATATTGCCGAATAAACTTAATAGTCTCATAATTGCCGGATAAACTTAATAGTCTCATAATTGCCGGATAAACTTAATAGTCTACACATTGTCTAGTTTACACTTTGCACGTACACATATTTCCTCCTACTTTAATTTGTTGGTGCAACCGGGAAGTTGTCGAGGAATCGCTAAAACCTAAGAGTCACCCTCCGTACAGTTGCGTATTTACGCGTCTGTTAAGTTGGCACGCGAGCCAATAGATCCGCGTTGTTTCCGACTGCCATCTTACGGGGCGCGCACAACACACGCGTACATATAAAGCGGAAAAAAGGAACTGTATCGAATGAAAGCACATTTACAAAAATTTGCGAGAATGTACGCATGCAGGTGTAATACACGTGCCTCTGTATACGTGTGGGTACCGAACACTACATTATAGATAGGAGATAATAAATGCAGAAGTAATATTTATTCCAGAAGTTAAATAGTAACATTAGGAATAATATTTATATCTCTATATTTACTATTTACATATTATCTAACGATGTAATCCTCGCCGGACAGGCGGGCTATGTACAGAAAGGCGAAATAAAACGGAGAGAAAGGGAGGTGGATGATGGCAAAAAAGGGAAATAAAGAAAAATGCTTATTTATAATAAATTTACGGAGAAGCGATTGAAGGAGCGAAAGTAACGAAAATAGGTTTTGTACTTAAATTTATTATAAAATAAAAGCAAAATCGTTCGTGCACCTAACACGCTTCGCTCGGACGTTTTATTCTTTTTAGTTTTGATTATTTGATAATGAACGGTAATTGAAATTGTTTATGGTGGATTAGTTTCGGCGTGTTGGTGATCGACGATCGTTTTTGATAAAACCGCAGAATCGTATCCGATAGTTAGGCGTTAATGATAAATTTTTATAATGGCAATGTAAAAATCAGAGTGATGTGCATACCACGAATTTTTATTTGTTTAGTTAATGATCAATAGCGAAGAAAGTCTTTGATGTTCTTTTTTTCAGGAAAAAGGGTCAGACAGTTCCTTGACGTTTATATTTCAAATTATCTTATTATATGAATAAAGCTATTATCATTTACCTAAAATGTTATAGTTTATTGCACCTTTCAAATCATTGTCCTATTTCGTTATTTTTTTATTTATAATAAGTTTAATCATGCATCAATTTCAGGTCTTAAATTTCCACATTTTCTAATTTTCAAAGTTTAACATTTTTAAATTCTTAAATTTCTATACTTTGAAAATTTTTAATTATATTTTCGAATTTCTAAATCGTTAAATTCTTCAATTTTCAAATTTCCAAATTGTTGCATTCTCCTATTTTCAAATTTTCAAACTTTCAAATTCCTAGATTTTTAAATTTGCAATTTTATAGTTTTAAAAATTCTACAACTTCAAATTTTCAAATTTTTAATCTTTCAAATCTGCAATTATCAAGTTTTAAAATTTCTTCATTTATAGTTGCAAAATTATCAAGTTTTCAAATTCCACAAAAATTCAAAATTTATAAATTTTTTAATTATAATTCCATTTATAATAATTCATATAATGTTTATATCTTCTCTACGCTTTCACTTAAAGAAATAATTTGTTCTCTAAAACCATGGAACTTATGTCCATACAATTTTTGTATCATTAATAAACCCTTCTACAATTAAATATACTTAATTATACTGAAATATTTCCATAATTATCACAACCAAAAAATTATTTGGAACAATTTCATTATGTGATCACATTGTATATTGTTCTTAACAATATTTACATACTTTATAAATTTAACAAGGTTACTCACAATTTAATACAATTTTAAATAATTAAATTAATTAATAAAATAATACAGTTTTAAATAATTACATTAAATAATAAAATAATACAATTTTTAAATAATTACATTAAATGATAAAATAATACAATTTTAAGTCATTAAATTAAATAATAAAATAATGAAATTATAAATAAATATTTTTAACTGAAATATTTCTAATGAAAAATAACCTCAAAACACTCATCAAATTTTCCACCTACAAAGTGTATTCGCTGCAAGCTATTTTGACCTTTGAAAGGTCGAAATAATTTCATAAACGAGCATCCCTTAAAAACACGTGCACAGCATATCTTGTTGACTTCATTTATAAATCAGTTTAATTCCGGTTGTCTGTTAGCAACGCAGGCAAAAGTGTTATCGTACGAAACTCCGAGTAGATAAAAGGATACTTTTCACTGTTACGTAAAGTCGAGTAAAGAGCAGCGTTTCTGGTTACGAGATAAAGTGAAATGCCGGCGGAAGGGTGGCTGAATGGCCCGAAGGAGGCCGAGTGAAAAAGAACGAAGAGAGAAGAAAAAAATGAATGTAATCAAATTCCAGTCATTCGCTTCATTTCACTCGCACCCATGAATCACGCGACGGCGATCAACGGTACGATCGAAGAACAGCACCGGTTTTACGAGCCTTTATTTCGCTCGTTGAATTAATTCGACATCATAAAGAGTAAGATAATGGCCAACCGGGATGCATTCGAAACTGCCGCTCGAGAACAAGGTAAGCCGAAGCGGAAACTTAATGACAAAGTCACCCCATGCTTGTGGCGTATACGAAACGAACGAAAACTAACGACACAATTGCTTATGGTTTACATTACCGTAACGTTCCTTCTTTTTAATTCTATGCACTCCTTTGTTTCTTCCCTTCTAATATCTATTTTTTTTATTACGTCGTTTCTGACGACGTTTGATGAATTATTGCCAGTGTACGCACAGTACGCGATCTATTGCACGAATGGTTTATGACAATACGACGCATTTCGTTGGAAACCGTGTGCGTCAGTGTTTTGTTAAACCTTGCATGGCGTCGCGTCGGCGAAAAGCGCGCGCAAACGTGTCTCGTTGAGAAGTGTATATTACATACGTTAATTTTAATAAAGTTTATTGTGCAAAAATATTATTTAATTGTATATTTAACGGATAATGTGTAATGCACGTGCAATTCGCTGGATATCAACAAAAGAACGTAACAATTTTTACTAACCTCTAGACTGGAGAGAATAAATCACGACATATTGAAAAAATATTACAATAACTAGGTTGCTTATTATTTCATATTATATTTATTTATTCTAACATCATTAACACTTGAATTAGTTACAACGAATGCAAAATTTCTTTCTCTTTCAGGAAAATATTTTGACATATTTTGACGAGGTAAATGTGATCACGTGATACAGTCACGTGATGAGTATTTGCTGTTTATTTTTACACTGTACTTTCAGTTTACAAGCAAGCGTATATTTATCGTTATTTTTAATTAGAAGCGTATATTACATAGTTAATTTCAATAAAGTTTATTGTGCAAAAATATTATTAAATTGTATATTTAACGGATAATGTGTAACGCACGTGCAATTCGCTGGATATCAACAAAAGAACGTAACCATTTTTATTAACCTCTAGACTGGAGAGAATAAATCAGAACATATTGAAAAACTATTGCAATAACTAGGTTGCTTATTGTTTTATATTATATTTATTTAGTCTAACACCATTAACACTTGAATGAGTCACAACGAATGTAAAATTTCTTTCTCTTTCAGGAAAATATTGTTCTTTTGACATATTTTGATGAAGTAATCGTGATCACGTGATACAGTCACGTGATGAGTATTTGCTGTTTATTTTTACACTGTACTTTCAGTTTACAAGCAAGCGTATATTTATCGTTATTTTTAATTAGAAGCGTATATCACATAGTTAATTTCAATAAATTTTATTGTGCAAAAATATTATTAAATTGTGTATTTAACAGATAATGTGTAACGCACGTGCAATTCGCCGGACGCTGTCGACAAAAGAAGGTAACAATTTTTACTAACCTATTGTAGATTAGAGAGAATAATTACATATTGAAAAATTATTGCAATAACTAGGTTGTGCATTGTTTTATATTATATTTATTTAGTCTAACATCATTGACACTTCAATTAGTTATAACGAATGTAAAATTTCCTTCTATTTCAGGAAAATGTTGTCGTTCTTTTGACATACTTTGATGAGGTAAATTGTGAAAAATTGTAAGATTGCGAGATTGTAAAATTGTGAAATTGTAAAATTTCAAAATTCTACATATTAACACTACATTCAAAAATTCCCTAAGTCATCAATTCTAAAATTCTTAAATTCCAAATTTCAAAAATTTCAAAATCCCAAATTTCCTAAATTCCAAATTCAAAAATTCCAAATGCAAAAATATCAAATTTTAAGATTCTAAATTTTCAGAATTCAAAAATTACAAAATTCCGAATTCAAAAATTACAAATTCAAAAATTCTAAATTCTAAAATTCTAAATTTTCAAAATTTCCAAATTCCGAATTCAAAAACTCCAAATTCCAAAATTCTAAAATTCAAAAATCCCCTAAGTTTTTAATTCTCTAATTTAACAATTCAACAATACAAAAATTCTAAAGTTGAAAAATTAGCAAATTCTGAAATTCAAAAATTCAATCCTTCGAGAATTCCGAAATCTGCAAAGAGTATAAAAATAAGAACGCAACGAGAGCTTTGCTCTTCAGTTACTCCCAGTTCAGTTACTCTTCAGTTTGCTCCCTTCTTTCGTTTTCTTCCGTTGCCACCCTTTTCGTACGTTCCTCTTCCGTTCATTTCTTCGCATTCTTTATTTCATTGCCCCCTGCTTTCATTTAGCTTTTTTACCTTCGCCGTTCGCGTTTCCTGTGGAAAGTTTCCGTGCAGTTGCGTCAATAGAGTATTTCGACCGGGCCAGCCGCGATTAGGCGGCTAAATGTGAGAATTATGGAAAGCAGAGGCAACGTGCACACATCCGCGCGGCTAATAAAGCGAATGATATATAACGGGTTCCCGAAATACACCGAGTTTAATCGAGGATTCCACGAAAGACGACTGAACGCGAAATCGTCGGAAAACTTTTATCGGGTGTAAAATTGATGGTAAATCAAACGGTCTGTCTCGAGGACGGTTTTAGCGAAACATTCATGTCAGTTCGTTCGCTTTCGATCATTCGTTGGCGACATTTCAAATTTTGTCGCATGGGTTACCCTGACACTTCCGCCACTTTTCTTTTTTTTATAACTTTTTCAATAAAATGTATTTTCTGGTAGACTAAATATTTTGGAGATTTATTTAGAGATATTTGTTATTATTATAAATAACATTATTGTCATATTTTATTACTATCATTATTAATTTTTTTATTTTTATTGTCATATTCTGTTATTAACACCATGTTGTATATTCATAATCTTATCATAGTAAGATAATGTACTATTTGTTACAAATACACTGTCATAATAGAAATTATAAATGATCACGTAACTTAATATTTTAAAAATTATACAGCAACAATTAATATATTTTTACATGTTCTTTGAAGATCATTTTCAGCTGCTATTTTTTAGGTCCACATGTATTTTTTTTACATAGTTAAATTTAGTTATTTATAGACTTCTATAAAGTAGACTTGAAAATCCTAAGATCCTAAATTTCAATAAAAATCCCACAGTTTCAATCTTCCATATTAATGTAACATTTGAAACTCAATAAGTATACTATTCATAAATTTCAATAATTATTCAGGGTGTATACTGTTAAACGGTGACGGCATGTTCGACGACTAAAAATAAGGAAAAAGTGTAATGTAAATGTAGAATCGTAAACGTTTCGTTAAAAAATGATAAATTACTCTGATTAGTCACATTTCGTCAAATTCCTTTTCAAATTATCATTCATCCGTGATAACGACGTTTATAAATCGAATTTGTTGTCATTTGAATTTCTTGATTTTCATTTTTGTCACTAATTATGGCATTAAACTAGAAACCAGTTATTTATAGTTCTGTTATTTTTACTATAACTTTGTAGTAAGTAGACTGCGGGTGTTTATACATTCACGATACGTCAAGATTTGTAAAAAAAATAACCATTTAACCTGTCGGTCGTCGATCTCACAGATTACACGATTAATTTACATTTTTCAAGCATAGATACATTATAAATGTACAATCATTCACAATCTAGTGGCGAAGCATTTAAAACTCTATTTTTATACATCGTTCTTTATTTTTAATTGTAGAATATTCTGGTAGTGTGGATAAGAAACACTCTGTATATTTCAGCAATAAATGATGTTCTGCATAAATGATGTTCTGAAATCAACACTGGAAATGTGCACTTTTAAATTAAAAAGAATGTTACATATATATGTTACACATATAAGAATGTTACACTTACCTTTAAAATGAAAATAACGTTGATTTAACGTTAATTGAAATTAACTTCTAATTAAAAATAACGATAAATATACGCTTACTTTTAAACTGTACAGTGTAAAAATAAATAATAAATACTGATGACGTACAATTTTTAATTTCAAGTATAAAATCAAATTTCATTTCAAAATTCAAATTAATATAATTTTAACTTCAAAATTAAAGTTAAACCTGAAAATGCATATTAACCCTTCAGGCAAAATAAAATAATATATTACGTAACTTCATCCTCCATCATACATAAATGAATGGAAAATTTCAACTAAAAAAATGTCACTGACATTTTTCACCTTTCATAATTACAAATGTTAATGTGCGAATGAACACAAATGGTTACGAAATAAAAAAAAGAACACTTTTTTTTAGATTTTGAAAGCTTAATTACGGACTGTTTAATGCGCAGTTACTTTTCGATTGAGGATAAAGTGGCGATGTTAGACATCATAATTGCTACAGCAGTAGTGGTAATAATGGTAATAATGACAGTGAACATGAAAATGGTAACAATAATGGTAATAATGATGACATTGAACATGAAAATGGTGGCAATAATGATGGTACTTGCGGGAACAGTGATTACTCTAATAATAAACGTAAAAATGATAATAATAGTTATAACAATCATGGTTATGTAAGTAGTGCGAAGAGTAATCATGGTTACCACTATCATGGTGACAAAAATGACAATCCTTGGCGATCACCTGATCATTTGAGGTGTCATATTAACACTATTTCTACCAAGAGGTGTCAAAGGACACCTTTCAAATTTTACCCTAATATTCTCCAACTTGAATCATTACTCCACAATTAATTTTTTGACTTTTCATACAATAATTGTTAAATTAACTCAGCGATATTTTCTTCCAGCTCCTAGATCTAAAAATGTGCATATGGTATACTTATTTCTACCATGTGCGTTTTGACACCTTAAGAATTTCATGATAGTGCGTAATTTTAAACCATTTTACATATAAATATCAACACCATTTTGCAGCATCGTATTAATTATAATCAGACTAGAGAATTCTGGTTTCAGTTGTTATAAATACAGGAGTTGCGGAATAACTTTGGTATTCGTTTATAGCTGTCATGTTGCATTTTAGTGCACCGCTATATTTACATTTTGTAGATGAATTTAGCTAGAATTTACAACTTGATAATCTCCAATAAAAACACATCAATGTATCAATATTCCTCAAATTATCTACATTTGATAATTTTAAGTCCCACGTGGCAATTATTTGTATTCAAACGAAAGGTTAGGTTCGAAAGGTTCAAAAGACACCTTTTGGTCAAAATAGGAATACACGAAATCTTGATAGAAATTGTATTAAAAGAGGATTTTCTAGCACTAGATTTAAGGACTATATTCCGTTATTTCTAGAGTAAAAAGAAAGTAAAGTGAAGTGAGGTAAGTGCAGACTGGTTTTTGTAAAGTTGGTATTTAAACGTAAGTATTTTCAGTTTGCTATGTCAATACTTAACGCTGTCGATATCGAACGCTTTGCACAATTACTACTATTTAATTAATATTAACTAGGACTTTAATTTTCCTTGTACATTTTGATTTTGATAGGAAATTGTTTAAAATGTCAACTACTCTGCACTTTCTCCGAAAATGGTGTAAGAGCGTAACTTGATGTTAAATACTTTGAAACTTTATTTCATGTTTGATGGGGCAAGAGCAGAATTATTAACAAATCTGCTATAAAATGCTCTTTACTGCATTACGCATGTACTCTATGCTGTAAACAAGTACTCTTAGCTGAAATATAAAAGGGGATATAGTGAAACAAAACGAGGAAACAAACATAATAAATGGAGAAATTTCGTACATATTGTAATAAATATAGCCTGTATACACACTTGCCCCGTTTATGAACTTACCCCACTTCACCTTACAACGATAAATAATTTATACAATTATTTTTTATCTTAACAAAAATTATATTTCGACAAAAGCATCTTAATTTCTCTAATTTAAAATAAGAAACCCAAGATGTTATTCTCAAACTATTGATGTTACTACCTGATGTTATTTGACATTAATAGACAAATTTACTCTACTTGTTCATTTTTTCCTCTATAAATTACGTTTATTAATTTGACACCTTAGACGATTAATTTTTGTTACAGATACTTCTCGAAATTCTTGAACACTGATTTCTAAATTATCTTATCTTTACATCAGCAGTCAGGATACGTCGACTTGTGGAAACAGTTGATGAAGACGACTACCGTTGTATAAACTGAAATACATCTTTTTTGATTAAATTAATTTTATGTTATGACAGTGGGTCCTTGAATGTTATCTATTTTCGATTAAAAAAATACGATTCGTATATAAAGTCGATTATATTGTTCAAATTAAGTATTTTAATTAACTGTGACACAATGCAATGTGTAATGTATTATTGATAGAAAATGTTGTAATAATATTTTTCTTATTTTGTAAATTTTAAGTTTTGTAATTTTATATGATAACTAGCAAATAATTACTTCAATCATAATTTTATTTTCATCTGTAATAATTTTTTTAATGACACGCTGATTTTGAATTATGTCTCACAACACATACGTTAGTAAATATTGTATAAAATAATATTTAATATTATCTGATACTTATTAATAAATTTCTTAGTACAAATAAAGTTTTCAAATTTATTTTTTCACATATACTTTCATATTTTTACACATTACATCTGAACAAATAAAATACACTTATTTAGTATTAATAATAAATTTAATATTGTGAAGTTTAATATTTTAATATTGCAAAATATTTCGCAAGATAACTCAACAGCTAAAAACGATAAAAGGTAAAAAATAATTTCGCAGATGAAAGGAACTTTTATAATAAAATAAAGTTGCCTTCGTTCATGAATGAACGTACAATGACACCAAAGTTCAGCAGCTACGTAACGAAATATCAAAGTATAAAGTACTTGTAATTTTTAATAACATACACATTTGTACTGCTAGAAAACATAACGATATGTTATTCGTTTCTTAGTAGCAACATACTATCTCATAGTCTTTCATTCGTTATGCGTAGTTAGCTAAATTTGTAGTACTGCGGAATACCATTTTATGTATTCGCAATACTGTTTACCAGACTTTTTGCGTTTAAAATTGCAGTTGGTTATTAATACTACGAGTGTTTTTATGCTTATGTTCACGTTTTACGTTTTTACAAATTACGATTTTTTTAAGCTTCTTTATTATATTGTATGACGCTTTATTTATGTTTATTAATTATTTTATAACATACATGAATTATTTATAATAATAATATATAATTACATTTTTAAATTTTACTTGTAATTATATGTAGTTACATATGTGTTCATATGTATATAAAAATACTGTTATATTATATGTAATGATATATAATTTTACTAGATATAATTATAAATTATACATTGCTATATAGAATTTATTATATATTTATTGTAATGCAAAAGAATTTTTACAATATAAAAGACAACATAGTTTATAGATATTTATCCAGATTTAATATGCGAAAATATGAAAGTACATGTGAAAAAATAAATTTGAAAATTTTATTTGTCCTAAGTGTCAAATCCACCAAGCTTTGCTAATAGCAACAGTATCCGCTGCATACTCACATCAGTAATCACAAAAAAGTATTAAAAAAGTGTTAGCACTATTTACATAATGTCATACCGTAATTAAAATATCAATCAGGTGATATTTCAAGGTTAAATTTTCAATGTAACATCACCTTGACATATAGCCTCAGTTTAATGTGCTATAAACTCCGTTTAATTAGTATTTCAATTCTGTTTTACATCTTGATCACCTACAATCGAATGACCTTTCGACTCTGTCGACCTCCGGTGGTTTTTGAATTTTTATTGAATTACGTATAATCATCTAATCTCTTTAATTCGATTTATCAAAAATAATTCACACTTTTATATTTAAAAAGTAGCTTAAAAAATAGTTTATTTAAAAAATAAATAAAACTTCCATATTTAAAATATGGATGGAAATAAAGCATTCATATTTCCAAAGTGAACAAGTTTAAAAATTTAAAAAATTCGAGCAACCACTATTTTTTATATTTTATAATTAACCTTTGTTTTTGTATAAATTGTATCATTCAAAATGATTATTTTTTTTTTAATCCAGGTTTTACATTGTCATTACAATTATTTCTTTTGTAATGTGTAAGTATATAGTTATATAAATACCAAAATACATTTAACAAAATAAAGTACCATTGCTAATTACTTTTTGCAATCCATAAAAACATTGAAGTTATAACACTGTTTATCTAAATTCATAAATAATTGATGATAGAAACTGTCACATAATCTAACTTCACGAATGCTAATGAATGCTAATGCAACTTCATCGCGAACTAATAATTTACAAACTTTTCCATCATTTAATGTGACACTGAAATAACAGACTACATAAAATTACTGAGTTATTTATCATACAAAATTAGCATTCCTACGTCAAACTAAATGAACCGTAATAATTTAAGATATGTTGTCACCAATACACTGCTACATCTTATTGAAAAATAATTTCATTCTGATGTGCGTATTCATTTAATCTTAATAAGATACAATTCTTAGTTTCAGCGAACGGTGATTTAAAATTAACCGCCTCTGGCTCGCACGTTTCGATGAGAGGAACGCGGAACGCAGGCGGACCGGCGCTGCGCATGCGCAGTCTCGAGTAATGATCAGTGATTACGGAAATGTTAGCATGTCGCGTGTGCCAGTTTTAGCGATTTTGGGATCTACAGGATGTGGAAAATCGCGTTTGGGAATCGAATTGGCTCGCAGGTTTCGTGGAGAAATTATTTCTGCCGACAGCATGCAGGTGAGTGAACAAATAACGATATATTATGTTGCGTTAATTCTCGTCGGGGCCTTGTAGGTTAGGTACACGTTTTGAACGTTGTTTATTTCCGTTAGAATTTCGAATACAGTCGTATCAATTTTAATTCGAACGAAAACCTTGATAACTTACCGTTACAAGTTTATTCTTTTAATTAAAAGAAAAGTTATCGTTTATGGAAAATTATTTCTTGTCATTTCTAACTATAATAATTATTTCTAACTAACCGAGTAATAGTACATTCAAAATATACTGTAATTTTTATTGAACCGTTCAGTCTTTACGTATTAATTGTATAAGATTTATGTGATTTTTAAATTCGTCTTGATATCACATAATGAAATAATTTATAAAAGTCGTTTAATATTAAAATGTCTAAATTGTCTTTCATACTCTTATAACATTTTGTTTTAAAGAGTTGAACACTTGTTGGAATAGTATTGTCATAGTGATTTAACACGTCAATAAATTATTTCGGAAATATCATTTTCTCTTTTACCGTTATAAATACGTATTGTATTTTACAGTGTATGTCGTAAATAACAGAATGTAAATGACCTTGCCCGTTCTAAAGTTACGTGGGTTTAAATATAGAATAGTAGTAGAATTTTAGTGAACACGTTGTTAGCAAAATTTATTGCAAAACTATTATTATCGGAACCGGCGCTCATGGTATATTAACGTTCTTATAAATTTTATAACAAAATTAGATATGCTCGGATATATTTATTTCAATTTCAATTTTTATTATCTGAACAAAAATTAGTTTTTAGATGGGAATTTTTGAGATATACGTCCCATTCAATTTTTTTATACTAAGTTAAAATTTATTTTTAAACTAATTATATTATATTAAGTTTTGAAAAATATTTCACTAAAATTAACATGTTAAAAAGTTATTAAAACATTTTTGTAGAGAAAGAGATTAACAAATTTAATTATAAATTATATAATAAATTATATAATTATAATAATTATATTTAGGATGTTTAACATTACTCAATAAATTATTGTTTAAATTAAATCAGTCACATTTTAAATATCACTGTTTTAGATCCCATTTTGAAGTTATAATAAAATCATTCAATTTTGCTATTTTTCTATTTCAAATTTGGCGCCGTAAAATTAATTTATTGTAATCCTTATTCAATTATTAAATCAGTTAACATTAGTTAAATAAAGTTAATCTCATTCTAAATTTCACTATTTTAGATCCCATTTTGAAGTTATAATAAAATCATTTGATTTTGATATTTTTCTATTTTAAATTTGGCGCCAAAAAATTAATATACAGAAGTAAACAGCAAAATTATGACTAGAATGAATTTCTTACTCTAATAAAAAAAAATATTTGAAATATTAGATTCATATATGCATTAATATATAAAATAATTAATATATATATATACAATTTTTAAATTATTATTAAATTTAAATATATAAAATTAATAAAATTAATAAAAACTTGGTATAAAATAAGTTATTTATAAATTTAGTTAGTGAAAGCAGTTATCTTTGTATCAAAAGTTTTCACATAACTTTTATGTCAATAACTCATCTAAGATTTTGATATATCTGATATGCAGCATATCGAATGTATGACATAACATATAAACATACGCATTCGCGGAAAGCGGTTTCTAATATTTCGATAACATTTTCACAGTCTAATTGTCAGTTATGAATGAAAATCATTGAACCCAAACGCCGGAAGAGATTACAGTTTGAAGTGAGAACGTTGTGGTAGATTAACCCATACTTTTCCTGTGTCTGGTTTCCCATTATCTTTCCGCGTCGTTTCAATTCACCAACCAACTACAAAGGCTACGTTCCTTGGCAGCCATAGATTCCAGTGTGGTCGCATTTGGAGAGCCTCGAGTTAATCGCTTTAATTGTCTTATCCTTTCACGTACGTAAAGTAATCGTGAGGGACGTTTAATTACACGTCTGTGACATAAGGGTAGCCGAAATTTCGTCGAAAATGACGTGCTAGTAATTATCTTTCCACCGTTGTGCCGCTTATCTCGAAACGCGTCAACTTTGTCTTACATCTACGATTTATGAATCCTTTAATTCATTGCTGAGAAACTTTTAATAATAGTCATCACTTCTTTACTTTATGTAGTTGATTTACTCATTTGAATAAGTAATATTTTGCAATACATAAATTGTTTTATTATTTTATATTTTGTTATACTTTTTAAAAATTGAAAATATAGCATACATTTTTTAAGGAGTTTGCTAATTGTAAATTTTTTTTTAATTTAACAGTCAACAAACATAACGCAAAATTAAAGCTTTTGCACCGAAAAATTTTTGAAATAAATTTTATAATTAAAAATCGAAGAGCAAGTAAAATGATGAAGAATGCTATTCATAATTCAGCGATAAAAGGGATTAAAGGGTCATTCTAATTTTTCAAATGGTCATTTAAAGCAGATGTGTATCAATTCCAGCGAATTCTTTAAACGGTTCTCGGGATCCCCCTTTGTACGAACAATTTATCTTGCAGCGATAAATTAAGTTACGTAAAGTGTTTTGTTAATTGACACGCTACTTTACATGGATCTTCCGCGTTAATGGACAGTCGGCCTTTATCTCTTACTTTATTGATATATCAGAACGGGTTCCATTATCTCTTGGTAGAAACAAACTGTATAAATGCAAAGTCGTATAGCTCGCATGATACCCATAATGAACTAAGTGGATCGAATTAAACTCTATCCTCTTGGAGTGTGTATTAGCTGGAGGATCGTGGGATTTCCGGTTCTTTTTCGGCCCTTGAATTAGAATTAATCCTTTGCGAAGGCGATAGCTTTAAGTACGAAGCTTGTTATAAAAGGGATAAACTTCATCTACATACAAATATTAATTTACAAGCTTTTCACTACCGAGTTTCTTTGAACCTACATTTACGAACATTTAATGACGTTTAAATTCAAACAACTATAAAAAATGAAAGCCTTTAACTACATATTTATAAGCACAGTAATTCAGAAATGTACGAAACAATAATCAACAAGAAAATGAAGCGTCGAAACTTGCTATGATATTTAATTTATAATACATTGTGTTGGGGCATGAATTTCGTTTAGCTTCATAGATCAGTAGCTAGTTGATACAGTAAATTCCCTGAAGTCACGTTTTATTATGTCAACAATATTTAACAACCGTTGCTAATGTTGTAAACAAGTTCACGTCATCTTTATAACCAAAATATACATTTCCCCTAGAAAGTGAATGATAAACTGTATATTTAACCTAGCATGGTTTTCCTGTTTCTTCAGGAAAAAACTGCGGTTGAAGCAGCTAGAATTGTCTGTGAAATCTGTTTTAACTAGTGCAAGTAAAACTAGTATAGTTAGTTTTAACTGGTGTAAGAATGGCTTCAATCTTGCAATGGATTTTTAAATCATTTTATTTGGAAATAGAAGTGTTTCTAGAAACCGTATTTTAACCTCAAGAAATGGATGATCTTTAAATTTGTTATTAAAGACAATTATAATCATTATAAATTATTGAAGTTATTGTGATTCACTTGTGATATCCACAAAAAGTACAGTTACAGTAACCCATTAATATAAAATTTTAAGCATCAACGATAATTTCATAGCATGTAAATTTAAATTTAAGTTAGGTTTGAAATAAAAAATAATTTAGAAAACCAGAATGTAAAGGAGAAGAAAATGAGGATGGGTAGCTTGAATATCTGTTATTTCTACTATTTCCCAAGGCTCATGGTAAATTATTTGTTAAATGTAAGGCTCCTGACGACTCAATTTGTATTTGTCAAGCCACAATTTTGGATCTATCACTTGAAATTTTGATGGAGTGAATTTTTCGAGAATGAAACACCCGATTTGCTTTGGCGGCATTAGAGTAACTGCTCGAAATTTGAAATACACATTTAAATTCGGCACCTGGTAAACTCACTAGTACTAGAACCATCATTTTGTGGCTTGGTCTGGAGATCACCAAGATAGCTAACCGTTACAAGAATCCGTTAAAAGTATCACAGTACATAGTGCTTATTCTGTTTCGTGTCAAAAAGTGTTCTAGGTCATGTGACGAAAAATAAACATTATACAGTAACAGTCTGTAGCTTTTAAAATGAAGTTATAATTAATCTCCTTGACTAACTCTGAAGATTTCATTTTCAAGAAATTATGTCTGCCACATGGTGGTCATACGTATGAGATTATTACAACTTTTTGGAACTGCTGACGTAATGAATGCAACAACGTGTCTACAGAAAAGATTAAGGTACATTAATAAACCGGAAGAATGTCATTCTTTTGTTTTGAAGTGGGAGGTCATTTTGTGCAAATGATGATGCAGTTTTTGTAATTGATTTTTAATTCTGTACGAGTCTGGACAAGTAATAGTGAGGTATGGTGATTTGCAGGTGAAAAGTTTGTTTTTTAACAGTGTGATTTTGAGGATTTAAAAATTAGAGCATAGAACATAACTAAATTTATTAGTTTGAATCTATGGTAATGTAAAGATCAATAAAACTTGGATATTACATGAAAATTTAGTAATTTGCTAATTTGGAAATTCAGAAACATAAAAATACATATACCTTGAAATCTAAAAATTAAAAAATGGAGAAATGAAACAATGGAATAATGAAAAAAATATTAAAATATTGAAATTTGAAATGTTTATAAATTTACTAATTTAAAAACAGAATCCTAAAAATCAATCAAGTTTATAAATATAGAAATTTGATTACTTGGAAATATGAAAAACTGAAAATTTTTAGATTTGAAAATTTGGAAATGTAGAAACTTGGAAATTGGAAAATTGGAAAATTGGAAAATTGGAAAATGTAGAAACTTTGGAATTGGAAATTTGGAAAATTTGAAAATTCAGAAAATAACAAATATATTGTCTAACCAACAAATATTTTATAAATGAAATAAATAAAATATTATTCTAGAAATAAATTATGTTTTACCTAAAGTATCAGCACCTCATTA